AACACTGAAATATTCAGGTAACCTAAAATATGCTGAGCAGGTGATATTTTGGACTGATAACCACTCTGATCTTAGAGGAGGTGTTTGTCTCCTGCTGTCCACAAAGGGACATGTAAACTAGTTTGGGGAAATGACAATTTTTTGCCCATTTCTGGAACTGAACCCAAATCAAATTTTGTTGAAGGCTATGAAATGCCTGATTAACTTTTTCCATTGCTTTTAATTTGTACCAATAAAAGCTTGAAAAGATTGTCTAAATCAAATGATAAGTTACTTGGACCTGAAGTCTGGCAGTTGCCAAACTTGTAGGTGCCCTGCCACCTGGTGGAATTCACAACCCTGAGTTAGGCACTGACAGGCTCTATACAATATATAGGGAGAGCAGGGCACTTAAACAAGGGATTCACAGAAGCCAGCAAGCTGAGCAGAGAGCTGCCATAAGACAATGAAAACCCCTCTTCAGTGTGCAGTGACAATGAAAAAAGGAAATAAAGTGTCAGTCTGCATAAGGAATTAGACACAAAATAATGCTGCAAGTATTAAAAGGCCATTATAATGAAGGCACTAGTTGTGGTTCCATATTTAAGGCCCAATTAAGATTTGCACCTAATCTGGGGATTCACTTCTTTGTTATGTATGAAATATACCTCTACCTCGATATAACTCTGTCCTTGGGAGCCAAAATTTTTTACTGCATTATAGGTGAAACTGTGTTATATCGAACTTGCTTTGATCCGCCGGAGTGCGCAGCTCCGCCCCCCTGGAGTGCTGCTTTACCGCGTTATATCCGAATTTGTGTTATATTGTGTCGCGTTATATCGGGGTAGAGGTGTATATAGTTTATCATCTCCTGAAATTACAGCATGTACTCTAAGTATAAAATGACTTTTCTGAGAGCTAACAAGTAAAGCTGTTAATTAGTTTAGGAATTAAGAATAATTAAACATGGATCCATTAAGATATTTAACATGCAGTTCCAGAGGGTGTTTTTCCACCCTTAATGATCTCAGTAACAGAATACAGTATTACAGACTCTTCAAACTTCCTGTATAGCTAAAATGCACTAAAATCTTAGGCTTGGTCTACACTAAACCCCCAAATCGAACTAAGGTACGCAACTTCAGCTACGTGAATAACGTAGCTG